AGCCTCCTCTTGGGTCACTGTGAAAAGTCATGAATGAGGAGGAATGAGGCGTGAGAGGAATGAGCCTTGGGAGGTGGGGTGGGAGCAGGTGGGAGGCTCAGGAATGTGGAGAGAGAGGAATTCAGGGCCAAGCCCTGCCGTGCCTGGGGTGGTCATTAGGTTTCTGGGACCTTTCCCGTGTTGTTGATGGGACTGGGCATTAAAGTAATTGCAAGGCCCTTGGGTGGATGGCAAGGTGGCTCTGAGGAGCCACAACAAGTAGTTTTCCTGTTCAGCCCCCCCTCCCCCTTCCCCATCTCACACCCTATCCCTTGGGCGCAGACATTTTTCCTGGGAGATTTGTTTAGCTCAGCCTGGGATTAGAGCCTGAAGCCTGTGAGAACTGGAATAGAGACATCTTTCAACTTCTTCAGGGTCCCCTCCCACAGCCCCATCACCACCACCAACATTGTGGGGATCAAGGCGGCCTCGGCATCCAGATGGGTCCTGTTTCCCTCCATGATGGCCCTGTTGCAATTTCATTTCACTGGCCTGCCTGCCTCCCTTGAGGGTCATGTAAACATTTCCAGAAGGAAGCAGATAAAAAAATAGGTAAAAGAAGATCTTATATAAACACTAGATGGCTAAGGACCAGGAGATATTAATAGTTTATTAGGGCTTTTAAATTACCCCAAAGCTCAGCAAAAGGAAAGAAGAAATTTGCTTTAATTTTAACCTCTGTAAATGATGCTAGGGTTAGTAATAGGATAGAACCAGGCATCTCAGGAGACACACGATATCATGAAGAGTGCAGGAAGGGCAAAGAGCGAAGCTGCAGAGATCTGACTGTGGTGACCTTCCCGGCCAGTGAGGATGGGGGGGTGCCCCTTCTATAAATTAAGAGGAGCTGAAGAACGGTACAGATCAGACAGTAGCGCCTCACCGTGGCCTCCAGGCACCGTGTGATCTGGCCCCTTCGGTTCCCCAGCCTCATCTGGAGCATTTCTCCCTGGTTGGTTGTGCTCTCATTGCACTGCTTTGTGTTCCTAGGAAGGCATCAAACTCTTTCCTACAGCAGGATCTTTACATGTTCTTTCTTCACTTTGGAGAGCTTTTCGTGGGCATTTTGCTTAGATCACTCCTTCTTATCCCTTCATGCTTAAGCTTAAATCTCACCTTCTCAGAGAGGCCTTCCCTGATTACCCGTTTAGAGGGAGTGACCCTAAGTGATTTCCCATTAGAGCAGCCCGTTAATTGCTATAAGCACGTCTGCCATAACTAGCCCTTATTTTACGTGCTTGGCTATTTGCTTTCTGTCTGCATCACTGGAGTGTAGGCTCCAAGAGCTTACAAGATCAGAAAGTGCTCAAAAACATTTCTTGAACAAATCATTGGACCAAATTTCCTTTTTGGAAATAAACAGAGTCTCAGGATGGGGGCATGTTTGGCTCCAGTTCATATCTCCCTTGGGGATGGGGGTTCATAACAGAGCTTCTCACGCCTTCTTTCCTGGAAACTTATTGTACTACCTAAGAGTATACTCTGCTTCCTTTAGCTTTCACTGGCCAAAGTCCAGTTTGTTTTAAATCCAATAATCAACAGGTTAAAAGATCCTTAACCACTTTGTGGGGCCAGGATACTTTTCATTTCTCTTAGATCAATGGTTCTTACATGTGAAAATGTGGAAGAATCCCCCAGTGGGCTTATTGAAACATAGATCCCTAGGCTCCACCCCCAGAGTTTCTGATTCAGAAGATCTGAGAAATTGCCCAAGAATATCCATCTCTAACAAGTTCCCAAATGATGCTAATGCCAGGGAGCACACTTTGAGAAGGACTGTCATAGATGCTGGAATCACCAGAGACATTGACAATCAAGTGTCTGAGAGAAAGGAAGCAGCAGGGGCCTGGCGATGTCCAGGGAGGAGGAGTGTTTGTAGGTATCACAGCTGCTGGAGTCTACCGGGCAAGACTTTGAGTTAAAGTAGCCCACCTGGTTAGATGGTCCACCCCCCATCCCCACGATATCTTTATTTTATAAAAAGCCAACAAGCCAATCAACCTACAAATTCCAATGTTGAGAAATATTGTCAGTAGGTATCACAGCTGCTGGAGTCTACCGGGCAAGACTTTGAGTTAAAGTAGCCCACCTGGTCAGATGGCCCACCCCCCATCCCCACGATATCTTTATTTTATAAAAAGCCAACAAGCCAATCAACCTACTAATTCCAATGTTGAGAAATACTGTCGCAAAAGAATGACCAACTATCTCAGTTTGCCCAGGATTAAGGGGTGTTACAAACTGAATGTTTGTGTCCCCCCCAAATTCATATGTTGAAACCCTAACTGCTATTGTGATGGTATTAGGAGGTGGAGTCTTTGGGAGTAATCAGGTTTAGATTAGGTCATGGTGGTAGGACCCTCATGATGGTTTTCTGCCCTAATAAGAAGTAGAAGACAGATCTCTCTGTCCATGGAAAGGCCAGGTGAGCACACAGGGACAAGACAGCTATCTACAGGCTAGGCAGAGAGCTCTCACTAGACACTCAATCTGCTGGTGACTTGATCTTGGACTTCCCAGCCCCAGAACTGTGAGAAATAAATGTCTGTTGTTTAAGCCACCCAGTCTACGGTATGCTGTTACAGCAGCCTGCGCCAAGACAAGAGGTTTCCCAGGACATAAGACTTTCAGTGCTGAAAAGTAGGAACGTCTCAGGCCAACTGGGATGATTTGGTTCCCCAGTTCCAAGTCTCTTTGTCTCCAATAAAGACAATGCAGAAAAATATCTCTGGTATAATGTTTATTTAAATAGTAATCATAAAAAGGCTTTATACAAATCATATAAACACAGCTTGACATTGTTTCTTTTTTACATTGAAGAATCACAGTAAAAGCTCTCAAGTTCCCGTGATCTGGCTCAGCCAGCGAATGGTTGAATACCTTTAACTGCAAACCCTGGAAAAGTTAATCTTCTGTGTGACAGTTTAACTTTTCCTCTTGTTTTCTTGTCATTCATGCTCATTCCTTGGACCCTCATCCCTGTCACTACCCCATCCCCACCAAAGAGAGAAAGCAACCTTGTGGCCTTGTTGACCGCCTAGTCCAGGAGAGCATGGAGGTAATATGTCATTCAGTACAAGGCAAAAAGGAGATCAATACTGTGAGTTGGGTTTCCCAAAAGGAGATGGGTCAGCGAGCCTAACTGCAGATAAAGGTAACACCTGGTGTCCCCTGGCCAAGTTAAAATTGGGCCCAGCTGTCTTTCTTTCTGTTTTACAACAGACCAGCCTCCAGCCTTGGTGAGGTAACTACATGTAGCCCTGGGTACCCTGCTTCTGTTCAGCATTCAGGGCCCACTCAGGGCCTCAAATCAGCCAATAGTGAATATGGATACAGGACTTGTAGGGGGATGTGGGTTGAGTTGTACATAATTTATAGGTGAACTGCAGGCCTGAGACAGGGCTGGTCTTTGGGGAACTATAAATGGCCCACTGGGCATGAGAAGGCCAGGACCCCTGGAGTAGGCTTTCGAACTTCTCTTCTTCTGCAGACTACTTCTGGAAATCCCTAGTACTTAGCTTTCTGAACACTGAGCTGCAAAAGAGGGTGAAGAGGAGGGTGGGCTAACTAAAAACTCATTTCTGCTGCATGCCCAGCTCAAGGGGTGCCTGATGCTAAGCCCTTGGGCGTGACAGCTTTGCTTTGCACCTCCAACTACCACTGTGCCAACAAGTGCCAAGATCAGCAGTTATACTCGGGGGCCCTAGGTCAAAGTCACAATACCACCACTGAGTCCCACATGACCATTCACATACACAGTAGACACAGAGAACTCAAAGGCTTGCAAAGACAGACACACATGTGAATAAATAGCTGTGGGTATGAACTCTCCCTCTCTGCATACAAAACACTGTGACATTACCATTTAAACTAGCATTTCCATAAATTATCATTTAAAGGAACCAGCCAGTCCCATTCACCTGGGTATGAGACAAATGAAATTGTGGGTGACCATAGCAGCAAAAATGGTCTGACAATTACCATTGATATGCAATAGGCTGGGCATACTGGTTGGGTTTCAAATGTATTTCCAGCACACAGGCAATCCTTAGGCATTAATATGAAATCAAGATTTGGATCTTGATGTGGACAATGTTATCCTTCACACAGATGCATTCTGTTCCTGATGGCTCCCTTTCTAGAGCAGTTGAGAATCATCTAGGGCTATGACTACCACTCGGGTAGCAGGGCTCATTCCATTAGTAGGATCAGCTGTGAGATGGGAGAACCAGGAATGGAGCCATTGGGGTTAGGGAAAGAGGAATGCCTTAAATTGTAAGATATTCACTGACTTCTACATAGAGGGAAAATACATTTTTCTTCATTTTTTCAAGGCACTTAATAAAAAATAAACTGGTATGTGTATGTGTGTGTGAATAAGAACCTAAGTCTCTCTGGGGCTGAACCACTATGGTCAACATTTTGGTCCACTGGACTTGCAGACTTCTAGTTAGAATCTGCTCTTGTGTATCCTAGCTCTGACTCTCCTGAAAGGCTGAATCGGTGGCTGGAACCCAAAGGAGAAATCAGTGTTTACTGGCCCATCCGAGAGACTAATTCCTCACAGTGTCTCCGTCTACACTGCCTAGTCTTTGCCATCACTTGATCACAGAGGTTGGCATCTCTTTCCTTCCCCACTGTTCTGCTTTCCATCCCATGGTCACTGGTTACCACAACTCACCACCCATCCGAGAGACTAATTCCTCACAGTGTCTCCGTCTACACTGCCTAGTCTTTGCCATCACATGATCACAGAGGTTGGCATCTCTTTCCTTCCCCACTGTTCTGCTTTCCATCCCATGGTCACTGGTTACCACAACTCACCAATGGAGAAAACACATCAGTAGCTTGTATTTTCCCCACTCCACCTCTGAGAATATCAAATGGTGCTATTTCCTGGGGCTTAGAGACCTGAACAGTGTGTATGTGTGTGTGTGTGTGTGTGTGCAGGCATACGTGTGTGCATGTGTATATCTATATGTTTTAAAATAACAAGGAGGAGGGAGGGAAAAGAAAAGGCAAAACCACCACCAGAGGCCCTGGAAGGGAAGCGTCCCAGCCACAAATCCTGGGTCTAGGTTTAATGAATGGCTCCTATTCACAAAGCACTTTAAGGCTCATCCGCTTCTAATGTGGAGGTGCATCTATGGATTTTGATGTGTAAAGTTTCCCTTTTCTGGTTTGTTTTAAATCACGTATAAGACAGAGCTGTTCATGCTGACCCTAAAATGGCAATTTTCCCCTGGATAAAAAAAGTTAAAGGCAACAACATCCTACTTAAATGCTAGGACTGGATACGGCAGCTTGTAGGGTGGGCTGGCAGAACCTAACCACAGCAAATCCCTGAAGTCATAAGACGATCAGAGGATGGGATAAGCTGGACGGCTTTTTTTTGAGTTTTATTTCTCAAGACAGAAAGGCTAAAAAGGCCCTTTGCTTTTCAAGTGTTGATTAGCAAGAGAAAGCAGCAAATAATTATCATTACGCTGCTTCTATCTGGAAAAGTCATGCTCCTCTTCTGCCTCTTTGAGTTGCTCACAGACCAAAGAAATAAAATAAAATATAATAATAATAATAACAAACTCACAAATGAAATAGAACTGTGACCCCAAAGAGATGAGCTCCTGTCTTTGTCCCAGCAGAGAACATGGCCCCGTTTCTGCAATGACTCAGCCACTGCGGTCCTAGGTGGGTAATAATCCCCTTCGCAGCTGCATCTCCCTTCCTCCCTCCACTCGCCTGTCTGTCCTGTCCATATCTTCAGTATTCTGGATCAGTTTGATCGAGATTATGGCATTCAGTTTCCAAAGGAAAAAAAATGTAATCTTCCCCTGCCCCTCTTGCTGGAATGAAACGTCAGATGTGATTCAGGTGTAATCTGTCATGCTTCGGAGCAGCACTTCTGGTGGTTCATCTTGACCTTGTGCTTGAGGCCGTCGTAGAGCTCAAAGTTGTAGTTCTCCAGCGTGGTGCAGCTGCGGGAACTCAGGCCCGAGTAGGAGCAGGTGCAGTAGAGCAGGAGCCCCGTGCAGATGGCGCCCAGGAGGACGCCCAGTGAGCTCATGGCAATGATGGTGATGAGGATGGGATCTAGCGTGTAGAGCCAGCTCTTTTCTTTGTCAGCTGAGGGCACACCAGACCCCAAGGTTGGGGAAGAAGAGTTGCTCCAGTCCACCTCGTACTCATCTGTGGTTTAAACACACGAGAGATTGCAGGCACTGCTTATTTTGGGGTGAAATAACTGAGCCACCCCAGCTCTTCAGAGCACAGCAGGAAGCAGCAGGAACTCTGGAACCAGATGGCCTGAATTCAAAGCCTAGTCCTGCCATGTCCTAGCATGTAATTTTGGGCAAGTTATTTAACCTCTCTGCCTCATTTCTCCCATCTGTGTAAAATGGGGGCACTAATGAAATCTATCTCACTGAGTTTTTGGGAGGATTAAATGAACTAATATTTGTAAAATGTTTACTGTCTGCACACAGTAAGTACTGAGTATTTGATATTTAAATAATTTGACTTATATTAGGTAAGCTGAGATTTTGCAGAATCTTCATGGGGCCTTTGGAGCCCCTCAGATGACCCTGTGCTCCAGGCAGCCTTCTTTCTTTGCCACCCGATCCCTCACTTCCAACTGCTTCAAGTTAAATCAAAGGATAGGGTTCGGCTATTTTCACTTGACGAGCTTCCCAATTTAGCATTCCTGGCCATTTAGGCAGCAGATCTTTTCTAGCCACCAGACCTCCCTTGACATGCATCTTATTTTACTGTTATCTTACTGCCTTAGATTGAGTGTCCCCTCAAAACTTGACCCCCACTGTGACAGTATTAAGAGGGTGGGAAATCCTATTATGGTGATTGAGAGGTGGGGCCTCAAAGAGGTGATAAGATTGTAGGACCATGCCATAGTGAATGGATTAATAATGGTGATCAGGGGTGTGATTCTGAGGGCTTTAAAAAGAGAACACATGAGCAGCTATCTCTCTCTCTCTCTCTCTCTGCTCAGCCACTTTTTGCCATGTGAGACCCCTGGGTCACTGTCGCCACTACTAAGACCCTCACGAGATGTGCTCCCTGCACTGTGGACTTCGCAGCCTCTGAAACTGTAAGCAATACATCTCATTTTCTTTATAAATTACCCAGTTCCAAGTATTTTGTCATAAGCAACAGAAACAGACTAATATACTTACCAAGGTTGAATTGTGTCTCCCTAAACTCCAATTCACGTTGAAGTCCCAAACCCCAGAACCCCAGGCACAGGAGAGTGCCATGTGAACATGAAAATGGCCATCTGTGAGCCAAGGAGAGAGACCTGGAACAGATCCTTCCTCACAGCCCTCAGAAGGAACCAACTGTCCACACCTTGATCTTGGATTTCTCGCCTCCAAAACTGTGAGATCATACATTTCTGTTGTTTAAGCCAGTTCATGGTACTCTGTTATGGCAGATCTAGTAAACTAATATACTTAAATTTCTATAGTGGCCAAGGCATGACCACATCCAGGGCTTGTTTTTTCTTTTCGGATCTCCTAATAATCCCATGAAGAAGGCAGGGTGATATTATAATTTTATTAATAGGTAAGGAAACTGAGGTTTAAAGAAATGAGGTGAGTTGTGAACTCCACATCACAGACTTAGCAAGCAGGTAGAGTAGAAACGGGAATCAGGCTTTCTGCAGCCTCCCGCCTTGCTCTGTCTACTTCATCACGGTGCCTCTGCGCTTGATCTAGTGCAGCTTCTCCGCGTAGGTCAGTCGCACACTTTTGCCCTTAAAAGGAGCGTTGGACTGGGTTTTGCAGGGAGAGTCTGCAGTCAGTTAACAAGGTGCTGTTTGGGTTAGTCACTCCAGTTTCTATAACTACACACGAAGTTTTTGATTAAGGTCAGGTTAAAAGCAGCTGCTCTATAAACTCCTCTACTTAAATGCATCAATCTTGGTCTAAAGTTGTTCTCTGAGTGGAATCTTACTGTTGAGTCGCTTGGAGATCAGCTCTGGCACTCAGAGAAGCCCAGGGAGGGAAGAAATTACATCTACGTGTTTGCTCAGTGGCCCTCCAGTCAGGACTCTTGCTTCGGCCTCTTGAAGTATGTGCGTTTGAAGTGGAAAAATAGAGCTTGGAATAAATATGAAAATACGAGATGGGCAGCGGGAAAAAGAAACTAAATCTTGCAACAAGCTTCAACCTGACCTTGGATAGTGGGAGAAAGGTTCCCCCCAAGCCAGGGAACTGGAAACCCCAGCAGGCCTGGGAGAATATTCACATTTGTGCTCATTCACCCAGGCCCTTTTTGGGAGGAGGTCAAAGGTTCAAGTAGTGACACGGAAAGAGGAGCTTGCCTTTTACCTTTAAAGAATTTGTCCAGATTAGAAGTCTATGGATACAGAAAGTTGCTCAAAGTAGGGGAACTGTTTCACACCAGGCAGAGGGAACTCAATAAACCTTCTAAATCTCTAAATTTGTCCTTGACAGAGCAACTGATGGTTTCTTCATTTTTCTAGTTTTTTCCACTTTTATTTCTGACTGATAGTTCTAAATTCTGGCCCTTCGATATGCTGGGCATTATTTTTCTTGATATCTTTATAACCAAACTTAAATTTCACGATTATCTGTTAAATCATCGCAATACTCACCATCAATTTCATCTTCATATCCCTCTCTCCCGTGTATTTCTGGGATGTCCACTGCAATAAAAAGGAAAACAGGCAAACCTATTACAACACATTCTATCACCATGGCTAAGAGGCAGAGATGCACACTTCCTGAGAATACTTCCCAGTATTGCGGGCAGCTAGAGAACCTCATCCACTTCTAGATCGTTGAGTATACACAGTACTGGATTGTTTCTCCTTCAGATGATCTGATTTTTCTTTCAACAACCAGAAAAACAGAACTAATAAGAAATGCCGGGTATTCAATGCCAAGTAAGCCCTGTCACTGTGTCTTTAAAGTGTCTGTCACTCATTACCACACTAGACCTCGGTTTTATCTAAGCCACCTTCAACAGCATCTTATGCCCATCACCAGTCGCCATTAGTGTGATGTCCATCTGGTGTAGCACGCCACTGCATCTCCTCGTGTGCACACATCTGAGTGGACACAGGTACCAGAGTCCTTCTCTGGATTTCAAATGCACATATGGTAATTTAAGGAAGCCACATTTCATCATGATGTGTGTTAATGTAAGAGTAGAACTGGAAAGAACACCATATCCCCTGTTCACCTTCACATATCTGTGCTAATACTGCTTGTCTTTCCTCTCCAGTCTATTTTTTCTACTGGCATTCTTCATGGTTTAGAGAAGGTCAAACATGGGCATCCAATCTGATTAGCCCAGGCTTGAGTAGAGCTAAGTTAATTTACTCTGAATTTTCTCCAGTATTGTCACTCTCATTTTCTTTTTTATGATAATTTTTTGGGGGGTTTATATAGGTCTCTCTTGTCACTATGCTGTCCATCATATAGAAATCAGAGCCAATGAAAATCACCTGTCTAAAATGGTAAACCATTAATGAAGAGAATCAAATACATGACAGAGAGCAGGGTCTTAGCATTTCTTCCTGTCTCACAAGCTACTTATGCCTTTCTGGGTTGTCAGCTCAAGATGGTCCTGGTGAATGTATGTGGCCCTTTAGGAGTTTTGTTCAACCCAAAGTCCAATGAACAACCTTGAGGTCAGCACCATAAATTGATATCCAAAAATCAAGACTTAAAATCAAAATCACAAACAGCTAAAGTATCAAATGAGAGGCGAAAAAAAGAATGTTAGATCATCCTGAGCATCTCCCTCACCAGCACTACATCTCAGGGAAGATCTACTTGACCATGATCTGAACTGAGGATTGATCCATCAGTGTTACACTTCAAATTCAGTCTTTTCCTTAAGGCCATAGTTTTCATCATGTTAGAAGTCCTCCTCATTCCTGGCCAAGGTGCTAAAGCACATTCTCATCCTCTTGGTCACTAAAGGGATACACAGAACAACTTGCCAAGACCCCACTTGAAAGTATTGATGCCACGTGGCACTGATCCTCTGGAAATCCAGCCCATTCCTGGCATGTTTATAGCACAGCACTGGCACCTGCAGGCCACGGCAGCTTCCCCACCTCTGTGCCCATCCCCTACGTTATTCTCCAGGCCCCCACAAAGCAGGCTGTGTCCTCGGAATGATGGCGTAAACACGACTCAAGGAGAGGCAGGTGGTGTCTGTCACTGGGATCAAAGCAAGCTTGTGAAAGTCAGAGGTTTTTTTTTTTTAACCTATGAACAAATATGGAAGAAAACCATCACATTTCCAACAGTTAATCATTTGATGAGATGCTCACATGTGTTAACATCTGCATGGATAAAAGATTCGGAACATCGGATAAAAAGATGTGAATCAGCCTAAGATGAGAACTGTGGGGCCCCTGCTAGTGACTTTTGGGTGAAATTCTATTCTTGCCTTTAGGGATTTAGTTTCTGCCGAGGATGTGTTGAATTCCTGGAGGTGAGAATGCCATCTTGCTCCATCTCGCACCCTCAGGGAAGAAGTCTTGGGATACCATTGATCATGGGATGGAAAGGGGTGGATATGGCATTGATCTTAAAGGAAAAAGTAAGAGGGATGGTAATGACTATGAGAACATTTGATCGCAGGAGATCACAGCCTCTTGTCTCTGGAGGCAGAGGACTGGACAAGATTCCTAAGAATTGGTCCATTTCTAAGGTTTTATGAAATCCATCGCCCAGATGCAGCTGGGATTTCTGCACCTGGAGAATCGAAGGCTACTTAAGGTGAATAAGAACACTTTAGTGGCTTGACTTGGCTTTTTGTATAATCACTGCTCCCAGGAGTTTGGGTGAGTGGGAAGGGGTCGAAAAAAGGATAAGTTAATCAACATTTTCAAAAGCGCATCTGTTCACCAAGCTTAAAGAAAGAATGGCACACTGGGGAAAACACAAATCAAGGGAACATTTGTACAAAAAGCAATTTACTTTGATAGCAATTTTCTTTAGTCCCTTTGCTGATATTCTTGATATCTGGATTTGATTAAGAGCTTTTTCTCTCAAAAAAGAGCCTCCTGCCCTTCACAGGCCACTTTCCTTTTCTGCTGAGCCTGGTCGGCGAGCCTCAGCTGTGTCCTCAGGATGCTGGCAGGAAGGAATGTGGCTCCCCCACCCGGTCCCTCCAGTTCTGGCAAGGAAAAGGCAAGGTGGGGCAGTGTGGTCACCAAGAGGAAATCAAGGGGAAAGGTACTGGCCCTGCTGTCGGGTGGGAGGGAGGACAACGAGCTAGGATCTCAAGGCACAGAGTGAGGTGCCTCCCTGGGAGTCAGAAATGGCAGGCGCAGGATGGTGGAGCCAGCTGGAAAGTGAGAAGGGTAACAGGAGACAGCAGGAAAATGGGACCAGGGACTTTGAATTTTTTTTTTTTCCCCTAATGGGGAAAAACTTGGAGAGGCCCTTGCAGGACTCTGTTTCAGTGGGTGGGTGAATTTGTGAGTGTGAGAGGGGCTAAGGAGAGTGGAATGGACCACACCTCTAGACTAACCCACGTCAGGAGTGGTCTGACCACCCACATCACTTCCACTTTTAACCTTCATGCTCACATGACCCTGGTTCTTTCTGAACCCCTGTGTGGGCTCAATCTCAGGCCAGTCTGACTCCAAAGCCTGAATGCTGACTCTCCAATACTGTATCAGGGCCAGAGGGGACCACCAAGTCTGCATTCAAGTTCTCTGGGTGTGGGCAGGACACTGTAACTATCATCCTATCACTATGACCCACTGTAACAGAAGAAAGCACCTGCCTTGTCCCAGATCCCAGTTGGCTGGGTACACACTCTCTGGCTGTTTGCGTGGATCACTGGCTCATCTCTATGATGTGAACTCGTGGGGGCTTCTCATGAGTGTGAAGATGTGGCGATCTGAAGTTTCGGGCTTCACAATTTCCATGATAGGCAGCACCCAGAAAGAGAAGGCTGAATTATACGGTTCTTCAAAGGGCAGTCATCATTAACCAACTACCCAACCAATCAACCAACCACCACTTATTAAGAGGGTTTATCAGGTGCCCAGGAACCGTAGTGGGGACTTTGGAGAATGAAGATGTATGGGACCAGGTGTCAAGGCCCTACAGTGTGGCTGGGAAGTAAGGACTCACCCATGCCAAAAGAGCATAAAAGGACATGGGGCATTGTGGAGGAGACTCCGAGTGCTGCTGGGGTCCATGGGGGGGACTGGGAAAATGAGGCTAGGTTCCTCCAGGAAGGAAAATGTGGGAGTGGGGAGGATACTTTGGAACTGAGGCTGTTGTGAGGTGGGGTTAGGAGAGTTCTCTCTCCTTTATCTGCGTGATTGATAGGGATGCTTTCAAACATGGCACCCGAGCCTTTTTACCCACACACTCATCTCTTGGCTTTTAGCTTGTATTCATTTGTATCAGACCCACCAAGGAATTCAGAGAGATTGCCTTGCTCGGCTGCAAAGCTTCCAGCCTATATTTATCTATGTGCGAGTCAGGCCTCTGTCCCCTGGGCCCCTTCACTAGCTGCTGCAGACCAGCACTGAAAAGCAGAGGTGGGCGCCTGAAGGCCTGGAAGGGAGTTTAGCAGAGTTTGAGTAATCAAATGGGCAGCTCATCCTCTACTTCAAAAGAAATACAGCCCAAGCCAACAAAAACCTGGTCATTTTCACATTGAGATCAAAGTCTCGGGCTGAGTCCTCTAGTTTCCCCAGGTGTCCCCTCTCTTTGCATCACCGAGAGCAGAGTAGGTACATGGTGCAGTGACTCAAGGTCTCACCCACCTCCTGCTGTCCTGATTTTTCAAAGTGAGGGACCGTAGTGGCTAGTTACTAAAACACCACTGGACTATTCCAGGAGCTCTCTCTAGCCAAGAAGCATCAAATACTCTGTAGTGTTCCTGTGGGTAAACTGCAACACTGCGGCACAAATGGTGAACAGCCCTAGCCAGTCATGACCCGAACCTCTGCTAATGAAATGCGTTTCTCCTTGAGGGGCCTGGAACACTGCCTGGTGGTGTAAGACCACACAAGCTCTTCAGGGGAAACACCCCACGACACTAAATGGTGAACAGCCCTAGCCAGTCATGACCCGAACCTCTGCTAATGAAATGCGTTTCTCCTCGAGGGGCCTGGAACACTGCCTGGTGGTGTAAGACCACACAAGCTCTTCAGGGGAAACACCCCACGACACCGCAACCTGCAGCTGGGAAATTCCCACTGAGCACAATGGAGGCACCAAGCAAGAATGGTCCTTCCCATTCTCTCTCTCTCTCTCTCTCTCTCTCTCTCACACACACACACACACACACACACACACACACACACACACACACTATTTATTTTTCCTCTCTCCCTCATGTTCTTCCTTCTTTTAAGTTTAGATTCTTTCAGGTTAGCATTCCTTCATTAGTCTGCTCTCCTACAGTTTCTTACAGAAAATTCGCAGCTTTCACTTGCACCATTTCTGTTACGCTGGGGTCTACTGTGAGGGGGTCTGCCCTGACATGTTCTGTTACTTCCTGCACTGGAAGAGGAACTTCTTCACAAGATAGCCAGGAGAGTGAAGAGTCTGTCCCAAACCGCTGGCTACTTTTAGATAAATGATTTATGACAGTCAGTCCCTGGGACACTTGTGCACAGATCATTTTAGGACACTGCTGTGTGTTGGTTTCTTTGAA